CCCTTTGCAGAATCTACGAAATGTTAATAATTTTAACTAAATAAGAGGGTTTAATTTAACATTTAATGTAATGTAACATTTAACATTTAATTTAACATTTAATGTAACATACTTTCCATAAAAAAAATAACTAATTAACACAATTAGTTACTTTTTCATGGAGTAATGCAATAATTGAATGCATTACTTTTAAAAGTTACTATCCCAAACACTGTGTATGAGTCCCTCAGTTGTCCTCAGTGTGAAAAAAATGGAACTCAAAATCATACAGTCACTGCTGGAAAGGGTTCAAACATGCAAAAGAGGATGGAAAGCCAAAGCCGATTTTTTTTTAAGAACTGTGGGCAGTTTAAGTCCTCAGGACAAACCACTTATTTTGTGGTAAATTAATACATGTGCAGAGATATACACTTCAAGCAAACCGTGGAAACAGTCTAAATTTGAAATATTTCATTAGACAATTTTTATGGCGTTTTAAATAGGCACAGATAACTGATTCTGCCCTTCAGAAAGTCTTTTATAAACCACCTCTCACCATCTTTCCGCTATAGAAAATTTGACCTTTGAACTTATATTTGAATATATAAAAAGTCTTTACCTAAATTGCTCTTGGTTTTGTCCGAACTTCTAAATATGATTTTTGAAATTATGATAAAATGATCAAGACAACATTCAGTTGATGTCTTTGACGAAATATACAATTGTGACAATGTAACTGATCTGCTCACAGACTGACGTCTCCATCATGCCATAAAACCTTGAGCAGTCAGTCCACCTTCATCAGAGCCAGATCATGTGCATGTGTTCAGCATTTATAGATTCTGTGCTAGGCTTCATATGCAGATTGAGCAATTGACCTGCTTCGACCTTGTTGGGATGCCCAGACTGCACTGGTGCCCTTCCCTGGAACAATGACAGGTTCTTTTACATTTCTGATAGTCTGTCTCCATGATGCTCTTTTTCTTTATCCATCCTCTCAACTGTTCCTGCATCTTTTTCATATAATTAGAACTCCTCAACTACAGCTCCTTTACCATCATCCTCCTCCCCTCTGGTACATCTTCTACTCTCTAACTGTAACCCATCTTCTGTGCCCCCTTTTAAATAATCAAAACTATTGTACAGCATCCCTCCTTCCCGCTCCTCTTATGCACCTCCTCCTTTATAGCCATGACTCCTCAACTTCACCTTCTTTATAATCTTTGTCACCTCTCCTCTACTGTACCTCCTTCAATCTAATTGTAACTCAGCTGCTGCACCTCCTTCTTTAGAACACATACTCCTCTTATGCACCTCCTTCTTTATAACCAATTGAACTATTGCACACTCGTCCTATTATAATTCTTATTCTGCATCTCTTTCTCTATTGCCATTAATCTCCTTTGCTGCACCTCTTTCCTTTTAATCATACTTCTACTGCCATTCTTCCCTTTAACCGTAATTACTCTATTGCACCTCCTGCCCTCTCATCATTCATCTCTTCTACTTCCCCTCCTTAATCATAACCTATGCACCTTTCTCCATCTAATCATAACTACTTCACTGCACCTTTCTACAAATCAGAATTCAACCTCTAACTCCTCAACTACACCTCCTTCTTTATAATCATTATGCCCTCTCCTCCGCTGCACCTCCTTCTCTCTAACCGTGACTCAGCTACTTCACCTCCATCTGTATGATTACTCCTCTTCCCTCTAATCATAACACCTCTATTATACAGCCTCCTTTTCTCGAAACTCCTCAACTGTATGTCCTTTAATCATAACAGCACCCTCTTCTTTCTTATAACTCCCCTTATGCTCCTCCTCCTCTATAGCATTACTCCTCAACACCACCTCCTTATAATCATTATCTCCTCTCCTCCGCAGCTTTTAACTCCTCATCTTTTAACTCCTCAATTGCACTTCTATTAATCATAACTGCTGTACTGCTACTCCTTCTTTAGGGAATGCTCCTCGTCCTATATAGCCATTATTCCTCAACTACTCCTCCTTCTCGATCATCATCTCTCCTCTCCTCTGCTGCTATAGGGCCGTCACTAGCGGGGTGAATGTTAGTGACGATTCTATAAGGGGCCTGGCCTTAGGGCCAGCTACGGCCCTGTCTGCTGCACCTCCTTCTCTCTAATCATAAATCAGCTGCTTCACCTCCATCTTTATGATTACTCCTCTGCACCACCTTCCCTCTAATAATAACACCTCTATTGTACCACCTCCTTTTCTCACAACTCCTCAACTGAACTTCCTTTAATCATAAGTGCTCTACTGCACCTCCTTCTTTCTTATTATGACTCCCCTTATGCTCCTCCTCCTCTATAGCATTACTCCTCTACACCTCCTTCTTTATGATCATTATCTCCTCTTCTTCGCTGCACAGCCTCTCTAATCGTAGCTCAGCTGCTTCACCTCTTTCTTTAGAACAGGGGTGGGGAACGTTGATCCCGGAGGGCCGCTGTCCCGCAGAGTTTAGCTCCAACCCTGAAAAAAACTCCCCTGATTAGCCTTAGTGATCCTGAAGACATTGATTAGCTTGTTCAGGTGTGTTTGAATAGGGTTGGAACTAAACTCTGCAGGACAGTGGCCCTCCAGGATCAACGTTCCCCAGAATGGTTTTACTATGTCGCTCCTTCCCTCTAATCATAACTCCTTTATTGCACCTCCTTCTCTTTTATCATAACTCGTCAACTGCACTTCTTTCTCTTAAATCATAACTGCTGTACTGCACCTCCAACTCACAAATCACAACTCCTTTTCTGTATCTTTTACACCTTCTTCCCTATCATACCTCCTCTACAGCACATTTGTCCTAGTCTTTCTCTGTTGTAATAACTCCTTTACTACACCTCCTCCCTTCTAATTTAATTTCTTCTACTGTATCCCTTCCCTCTAAACATAATTCCTCTATTGCACCTCCTGCTCTCTGATCATTCATTTAAATGTATAATAATATATTATTCTCTTCTCTGACCCTTTAACTTATTTACTGCACCTCCTTTCCACAAAAAAACTCCACTCTAACATAACCTTTAATCATAACTTTTCTGTTCCTTATAGTTCTAATTGCCCACTGGCCTCCAACTTCCTTGCTCTGATTCATCTCCTCTCCATATTTCCTCTGCATATCTCTGCCATCTCTACTTACCTCCTCTTCTCCTCACTTTTCTCTCATTCGCGTCTCTTTACTGTACTGCAATGCAGCAGAGCGGAACTGGGCGCAGCTCAGGGAACCTGAGAGACCAGCCCTCTGTCAGCTCGCCTGCACTGGCAAGGATGCTTCTTAATCACACTGCACTGCCTTACTCTCCACATCAGACATACAGTCTACACTGGATGAGTTTGTCTGAATTTGAGACTGATATTGATTCATAGATATGTGCATCAATTGCTCCATAAAAGGATGCTTCCACAAAAGTCAGATACTTTTCCACAGTGAAAGAGAGGAATCTTCTAGCAAATAAGACGTCTGTATGGTTCTGTATTATTAAACTAATAACCCACTAATATAGCTTACTATTATTTCGGTAACGCTTCCTTTTACAGTCCTGTTACCCATGTACATACTATGTACTTATTATAGTAATTACAATTACTGGGTAATAACTAGGTACTAACCCTGAACCTACCCCTAACCCATGTACTTGCCTTATATTAGCCAGTACTTTCTAGGTAAGTACACTGTAAGTACACGTAAGTACTGTACTGTAAAAGGAAGCGTTACCATTATTTCCGCAGTATATAGTACGTATACTATGCACATTTTCTGTATCCATAGAGACCCATGACTTACTGCAAAATGTGTATACAAATGTGTCAAATGTATACCACAATGCAATGCACGTGACTTTATATTTCCAGTGTTATGAATGAGCTGGAAATAATTAATTAATTAATCTCCCATTTGTAAAAATGTCTAGTTTGATTCATGATTTGATTTGGCTGATAACTTTTAAGACACTTTTGGTAAAAATGTATTTCGATAGTCTGCATTAGACATTCTACTAGCTAACTATAAGCAACTTTGCAACTACATGTCGACTAACTCTCATTAGAGTATAAGTAGATTGATTAATATCTGCTAACTCTTTATTTTGATGTTACCAGAACAGCCATTCTGACTGTATGTAACCTAACCCTAACCTTAACCTGAGTATACTAATACTTATGAGAGTTGACATGTAGTAGCAAAGTTACTTATAGTTAGTAGTATACCAAAGTGGACTATCGAAATAAAGTGTAACCACATTTTTAAACAAAACTAAATTTAAAAACACAAAAATTAAAAAGAAAATTCCAAATGCAAAATTTGACAACAGCATATTGTACTACTGTTTGAAATATTTATCGTGGTATAATGCACAGGGTTTCACAGAAATAATAGGCAGCATACACCGCGTAATATTCAGTAGTAGCCTATAGTTTTATATTTCATAGCCTTAGACCCACAAGGGATTTGATTTTAGCAGTAATTTGGCTGCAAGCCAGAGAGAATTGCAAATTCAAAGACACTAAGAGAAAGTATCTGCAAAGAACATAAAGGTATGTGCAGCTCTACGATAAAAGGCCTTTTTAACAGCGCCAGATCTTATCTAAACAGCATTTCTGTCGTCGATAAGAGGATCAATTGATGTCATCACAGGCAAATGCTCAGAAACTTAAATCCGTCCGGAGCCTCCCTGCTTGAGTAATGATGAAGCGGATTGAGGTCGGCTCAGAAGCCGGATCTCAAAACCAAAGCGAAAAGCTTCTGATTTCATGGTATAACAGTTGAGAAAATATGAATTTATTCATGACACACAAAAATAAAGGTTTGTAATAAAGTACTCACTGATGTTATGGCACAATAAAGAGCTCTGCTTCATATAGAGAGATGTTTGATTTTAAAAACAGATCGGATGGTTAAACTCAAATTAGCAACCTGGGAATAACTGCTCCTGCAGATTGCTGATTAAAGCTTTGTGCTTTAGTATTAGTGAAACAAATAATAAATGCCATGCATGCATACATAATGAAAATCCTTTAATATTTTGCACATAGATATATTCATATTATTATTGTTATAATAATAACTGTGAGTCAAAAATAATAGTCATTATATGCATATAAAACTAATCCATTAATTTACTATACTATGCTGTACGTCTGTATATAAAACAACATAAAGAAAGACCTCATTAGCTTATATACAGGAGCTTTTAGGGAAGGAATAATAAAGCCAATAAACACGCATACACACACACACAGAATCAGTGCAAAACACTGATCAGGTTATTCAGTCACTGACAACATATACAGAGTCCATTCTGCTTTCGTTGATGACCATAAACCATACACAAACACCTTGCACTGGTGTCAGTCATGTAAAAAAAAAAAACAAGATATGGAAAACCTAGAAAACATGACACTGATACTCCTTCATAGATGTCTGGATGAAAAATGAACATTAAAGTTATTTCAAATAGCTTTGGCTGAAAAGAAACTGCATAAATAAATATCAAGGACAGGGAAGCACCTTCAGAAAAGCCACAGCATCATGTTTCATGTGTCCTATTGCTACTCAGAATGATACAGAGAGACACCGATATAGAGAGAGTGTTTGATTACCCAAATGCAGTGCTGTTAAACATCTGTAAACCACAGGAGACATTTCGATTCTCATAGCTGTGTGTGGGTGTGTCTGTTTCTGTGGTTTGTGTGAGCGTCTTCTTTCACCAGAACATCCTGCGTCTCTCTCTAGTCCCCTTTGAAATGATTGCACCAGAGGGTCCACAAAGCGAACTGCAGCTATGACAACTGAAATGGGGCCAGACTGCTCGGCCCATCGCACACAAGGTGAAGGGATGGAATATCTGCCTGGTTGGAGTGGGGCTCCAGGGGCCCCTGCGTCTCCCCAAACCTCCAAGCAAGGGTGTGGTCAAGAGGAGCCATCAAAACTGTGGACACAGAAATTTCACTTTCAGCGGTTACAATTTAAAAATCATGACATCAAAATTCATGTCCCCTCATGATCTTTGATTCTCACTTGCAATGACATCTTTACTGGTGCGAGGGTGGGACAACCTGTCACTCACATGAGATCCACCAATAGCAAACCACAACCATCCAGTAATCACGTCCCGCTTTACTTGCTATGATATGGAATATCCACGGAAGTGTTACTAGCTACTCATTTCGCAGATAGTTTGTTTCTGTATTGTATAAGTATTTGTTCTAGCTCTTGTTTTAAATTATTTTGAGCCGTTATTACGTTTACTCTGTTGACGTTGTTCAAGCAGGATGTGACGGTTGGTCAGTGGTATTTGTCCCACCCCTCCTTCACTGTGATTGGACGGCTGGGTAAAAAGGGACAGTGATGAGCGCTGCGTTTTACCCAAACTTTAAAGTTCTTCAACTCTCGATAACTGCTAAAAAACTGAGTTCTCAGCGCTTCAGTGTGAAATTGACACTCAGCACCTCATTACACTCCTGCCGTTTTAAAAACGTGGCGCTACCATTGAAAACAATTGGAAAAAAAACGCTTTAGTGGAAACGTGCCCAAACATGCATAAACATACCTTTTACAAACCAACTGCAAATGTTTTATTAAGGGTGTAATCTAATAAATGCAATTAACAAGTCATCTAATACCATTAAAAATTAAGAGTCTTCATAATATATTATTTTATGAAATCGTAGAGCTTGTTTTGTTCGTTTTATGGAGAGCTTGGTTAATCAGACCTAGTTAAGAGACTTTTATTATACAAATGTTTCATAAAATTTCCACAAATTTATAAAACTGATCTGAGATCAGGTCAAAATCAGACAGTGATTCATGGGTTCAGAGATCGCCAATTTTTCCATGTCGATTCTTATTATCATTTCTACTGAATCTTGTATCATGTATTTTAAATATATTTCTAATTACACATTGTAACGATGAAGTTGCAATTTAGTACAATTAAAATATAGTAACTTTAAATGTAATATTGATAACCACACTCCAGTTAAAATTATAATCTTCACCTTAGTATTCAACACATCAAAATAAGTGTACTTCTGTAAAGCATGACAAAAGATTATTAAAACATAATGATTTAAAATGTACTTTTTTGAAGTAAAACTTTTAATGGGTCATTTTTGAAAAGCACTTAAAAACACTTTTTCTGCAATATAAAGATACAGCAGAAATAGTAAGAATAGTATGCTATTCCGAATTCAGCATATGTCAACACTGGACATAAAGCTGTGCCTGTTAAGCGATTTTAAACAAATAGTTCGCCATAAATGTGTCATCATAATACTAACCTCTGTTTTGTTCCAACCCTGTATTATTTTCTTTCTTCTGTGAAACAAAAAAAAAGAGATATCTTCAGAAGAGCTTTAGTTATTCATTCAAGTAAAATGGATGGTGATTTATATTTTTAAAAAGGCGCCGTACATGTAGTCCATACTCCTTGTGCTCTATATTTCAAGTCTTCTGAATGCAAGCATAAAAAAATATTTGAGAACTCCAGCATATAGGGGAAGTTTTTTGGGGGATTTGGGGGCTAAGCAGTTTATACCATATTTTTTTGTTTTACAGAGGAAAGAAAATAATACAGATGCCTTAACATGAAGGTGAGTCAATGATGACAAAATTCAGAATCACAGGTTTTACAAGAGGATTACAGAAATCACCCATGCATTAATTACCACAAACAACAAGAAATTGAAAATCATGGTGTGAAAAATCAGCATTCCTGTGTATATACCATAGTGAAATCTTGATGGGATTGATGAGTTATCCCTAAGGATAAATGTCTGCCTTTGAGCTATTAAATATTAACAAAGCCATTTTCTGCCCCTGCTGGGCAGCTTTACGAGATCACAGAAAGATAGGGTCACCTCTACCGTTGCATTCATACACATAAGGAAGCATACATGCATGGACCATGGTGACACTTGGGCTCTGTTTTAACTATAGTAAGCTGCTTACTGGATTCTCTCTACATTAACAGCTTTCTACCTGAAATGACAATTGAAATGTTCTGTACAGACAGCAACCCCATTAGCCTCAGACGCTACAGTCTGTTCATGCATATTGCACACAAAACTGGAAAGCACTTGAGAAAATCAGATCAGACAGAACTCTTGACAACTGGAAGCAAGGAAGCAAAATTGTTCAGGTGGCAGCGTTCACACTTATTCAAATGAACCGCACTAACAGGGCACCAGAGTTCGTTTTATTCAAACCAACCCTGTCAAGTGTGAACACACCCTAAACACACCTGGTTAATATAATGAGCACTTCACTGAGCTAGTCTCTAGATTTGCCAAAGTTTGTTAGGTTTGTAGCATCAAATTTGAAAGATTCTCTTTCTCTACAGCCTGGTGTTTTCTGTAGACCTGTAGAACAATTTGAATTGTTTTTTTCAATGTCAGTCTGTTGTCGTGTCATCACTGGTTTAGTTTGTCAAACGATGTCGATCAGTCCCAGTCCACACTACTGCGTTTTCGTTTAAAAACGGAGACCTTTTGGTACGTTTGCACCTCCCGTCCAGACTAAAACGGAAAAAACGAAGACCTGAAACGGAGAAGTTTAGAAACGCTGCAGCTCCGTTTTGCGTTTTGAATCTCCGGGGGGGCGTTTTAGTGTAGACGGGACAAAACGGAGGACTTTAGAAACGATGACGCAGAGGCTCACGCTCGGCTCTATGATTGGGTGTCATCAGTCATGACGTATCCTTCCCTGATTCGTCAGCCACCCATCACGTGTCAATCCGTTTCATGTTTACACCGGCACGCGCATGCCCAGTGCTGGTGAATGGTCACGTGATCCGCGTTTTCAGGCGTTTTAATGTGGACGGAGATCAATTCTAATACGCAGGTAAAACGCTGGTGTGGACGGAGATGGTATTCGTTTTAATTCTCCGTTTTTAAACGAAAACGCATCCTTTCTAATTAAGCCGTTCTTGGCTAGAATAAGCTGTGAATCAGAATTATTTTAGTGTATCAATATTTTGAATTAGCTTTTATTTTTATATTTTCAAGTTTTCATTTGAATTTTAGTGTAAGTTTTAGTAAAGAAAAAATTGTAATGTAAAATTGTAATGTGTTTTTGTTATTTTTAGTACTTAAACGTAAACGTATTTTATTTCAGTTATAGTTGCCAAGGCAGTTTAAGCTTTTCGTGGAATATTTCAGCTTTACTTCAATTAACAAAAACGATTTTAAATGGTTTTAGCTTTAGTTAAAGTCTCCCTGTGGTAAAAATCAGGTTCCCTTTCGTAGTCACTCCGAGTTACGTCGGATGACGGAGAATGGGGGTTTCGCCAGAAAGCCTATCACCTTCGAGTATTAAAAAACGAGCCTATGGCAATGAAATGCCATGGGTCTGCGGAATTTGCATAATGTATCTCCGCCCCACCGCGTGGGTATTTAAGGAGAGACACCTGCAACAGCAGATCATGTTTTTGCTTCGGAGCCAAGAGCATCTCTTCACTCCACAAGCCAAATCCTGAGTTTTCTCAGTGACTACATCTCTTCGAGACGAGCGAACTCTCCGGTGTTGGTGTGACGGCGGTATCCAGCGAGTTTCACATTGCCTGCGAGCTGAGCAGTGGTCAGTGTGTTCTCCCTGGTCGCTTCAACATCCGCGGAGTTTTTCCTCTCACTAAAGAGCTGCACGCGGCACGTCTTTTTAAAGACGCGTCTTTCTAAAGACGATCTGCCCGTGTTTTTTTGAGTGTGGTATTCTGATAGATTCAGCTGATGGGCGCGAGCGCTGTTTTGAGTGTTTGGGCTTTGATCGCGCTCAGACAGCGCTCGTGGGTGTGTCACGTTCTCTCACTGGGAACGTGACCATCGCAATGTAACGGTCGAGACTCGATGAGCTCAATGAGTGAGAGTCCCCTCATCCACACCCCGATCTATTTTTCTCCACGTGAGATAATACTTCGGCTGGTGGCCAGGGTGACCTAAGACGGCAGGTCTGGAACTAAACCGACGAAAAATTCCTCGGTCCACACCCCGTCTTTCACATTGCAACCTGCGTGGTCCCAGGTGAGTTCGCCGGCCCGCCTGCGGGCCCGCGGTCTCATTCGGTACCCCGGCTGATGAAATCATGTATCACCACATCACAAGGTGAGCTGGAGTCCTCTAGAGATGATGGCTCGTCTGTGCTGCCGTCCTCGGATGTGCTAGCATAACGAGTTTGATCCAGAGTGCACAGCTATGCTTCCCGGGTGATTGGTTTTTGGGGGTGGCGAACCCAAATCCTTTCTACCCGGACGTGCATGAAGAGATCATGAGATCGTAGAAGTCTCCTTGACTTTTCGCGACTGCTCAGTGGCCTCTTCCGCCTTCTCTGCCCTTGTAGAGGCCGCGGCCTAGGGTGCACTGGGGTTCCCCCTGTGGAGTGTTCTGTGGCAACACTTATGTGTCCCCACAGCGCCTCCACCTGGCGTGGCGACTCTTAAGCACCCCTCCAATGCCTGTAGGTTCTTGTCTACTCCGGTGGCGGGGACCTATAGAGCTGCGGGGCAGGCTGCCACCTCACTGCGTGTTATTGCCATCCTCCTGGGTGTTCAATGACATGCACGAGGGTAGGGCTGATTCAGGGCTCATCCTTGAGCTGCCTGCCGTCACCGACCTTGCTCTCCGAGCGACGTAGGTGACCGCACGCTCCCTGAGTCAGGTGATGTCCACATAGGTGGTCAGACACCTCTGGCTAACCTGGTTGATGTGCGCGAGGCTGAGTGATTTCGTTTCCTCAACTCCCCCATATCCCAGGCTGGCCTCTTCGGCGGCGCGGTCGAAGACTCTGCCCAACAGTTCTCGGCCGCCCAGAAGTGGACTGTGGCTATTTTGTCTGACCCCGCGGCTTTGCTGCCTCCAGCTGCCGGCTCAGACGCCCCAGTCCGCTTGCTGCCGAATGCGCCCTCCTGCGACTTCCGCCCCCTCCCGCCCGGCCCCCAGCAGCACCGGGCCGCGCCGTGGAGGTGGTCGCAGGAAGGCGCCCCTGCCCGTACCGGTCCCGCAGCCCCGCCAAGGCCAGGCTTGCGGCGCTCCCGTTACGTGCAGCTCAGATGTGGGTTGCAGTTCTTCAGGGAGTGGTTGCAGGGCCACTCCTTCCCCCGGTGGAGGGCTGGGGGAGAATCTTTCTAAACCAAAGAGCTGCATCCCATCTCTGAGCCCTCAGAGGGCCGGACGACAGTGCGCGACGCTCCCGGGCCTTGCCGCTCTCGTCCCCCTCTGTCTCTGAGGGCGCGGATGACAGTGTGTGCCGTCTCTGGACCACACCACTCTCGTCCCCCTCTGTCGCCAGACCCCTGGCAGAGCAGACCCCCGTGGAACGCTGGTCCTTCCCTGGTCTCCTCTGTCAGGACGCGGAGCATGACCGTGCCCCCGCACCGGGCCGCTATGCCACCCACGCCTGGGCCGGTCACTCCGCTTCGCTGCCCCTCCGGGGGGACGTCTGTCGTTCGGATGTTTCCGCTGGTTCAATTCTTGGGAGCTTGGTTAGAGCTTCCCTACCTGTCCCGCTGGGTCGCCCGAACTATCAGGCTCGGCTATGCGATCCAATTCGCACGGTCTCCTCCCCGCTTCAGGGGAGTCCGTTACTTTGGTTGGTGGCAATGCCCCGATCATGAGAGCGGAGGTTGCCACCCTGCTGGCGAAGGGTGCAATCGAGACTGTCCCTCCAGCCGAAATGAGGTCAGGGTTTTACAGCCCGTACTTCATTGTCCCCAAGAAGACCGGTGGGTTACGGCCAATCCTGGATCTGCGCGTCTTGAACCGCTCCCTTCTCAGGCTGCCGTTCAGGATGCTCACGACCAAACGCATTTTCGAATGCGTGCGGCCACAGGATTGGTTTGCAGCGATAGACCTGAAGGACGCCTACTTTCATGTCTCCATTTTACCTCGACACAGACTGTTTCTTCGGTTTGCTTTCGAGGGGCAGGCATACCAGTACGCAGTTCTCCCATTCGGGTTGGCTCTGTCTCCTCGCGTCTTTACGAAGGTCGTCGAGGCAGCCCTTGTTCCCCTGCGCGAACACGGGGTTCGCATCCTGAATTACCTCGACGACTGGCTAATATTAGCTCACTCTCGAGTCCAGGTTTGCGAACACAGAGACCTAGTGCTCCGGCACCTAGCCCGTCTGGGCCTTCGGATCAACTGGGAGAAGAGCAACCTTTGCCCCGTGCAGAGGATCTCTTTTCTCGGTATGGAGATAGACTCGGTCGCCATGTCCGCGCAGCTTACAAGCGAGCGCGCACACTCACTGCTGACTTGTCTTCGACAGGACCCCAGCGCCTCATGCATGTCAATTGCCTCGAGTTGCTGGCAGTACGCCTTGCCCTGCACCGCTTCCACGCGCTGCTCCTGGGTCAACACGTACTTGTCCGTTCGGACAATACTGCGACAGTAGCGTACATCAACCGTCAGGCTGGTCTACGCTCTCGCGTATGTCGCAACTCGCACGCCACCTCCTCTTATGGAGTCAGAAGCACCTGAGGTCCCTTCGTGCTAATTACATTCCAGTAGAGCGGAACCTTGCAGCCGACGAGCTGTCACGGCTCCAGCCAACCTTTGGCGAATGGTGACTCCATCCCCAGTCGGTCCAGCTGATATGGGACCAGTTCGGGGACGCACAGATAGATCTGTTTGCCTCCCACGACTCATCCCATTGCGCCCTGTATTACTCCCTGACCGAGGGCACGCTCGGCACGGATGCACTGGCGCACAGCTGGCCGCAGGGCCTACGCAAGTATGCGTTTCCCCCAGTGAGCCTTCTCGCACGTACTCTGTGCAAGATCAAGGAGGACGAGGAGCAGGTCATTTTGGTCGCCCCATACTGGCCCACCAAGACCTGGTTCTCCGAACTGATACTCCTCGCGAGAGCACCTCCTTGGCCAATTCCTCTGAGGAAGGACCTCCTTTCTCAGAGACGGGGCACCCTATGGCACCCTCGTCCCGATCTTTGGAGACTCCACGTGTGGCTCCTGGACGGGACGAGGCAGGTTTGAGTACCCTGCCACCAGCGGTGGCGGCTACCATCATTTCCGCTAGAGCATCGTCCACGAGACATGTCTATGCGTTGAAGTGGAACCTCTTCGTCAACTGGTGCTCTTCTCGCCGAGAAGACCCCAGGAGATGCTCGATCAGTGTGGTGCTTTCTTTCCTGCAAGACGGGTTGGAGCGTAGGCTGTCTCCCTCCACCCTGAAGGTGTATGTGGCCGCTATCGCCGCTTATCACGAAGCAGTTGAAGGTAAGTCTCTTGGAAAGCACGACCTGATCATCAGGTTCCTGAGAGGAGCAAGGAGATTGAATCCTCCTCGCCCTCCTCTCGTTCCCTCTTGGGACCTCTCAGTGGTCTTAAATGCCCTGCAGAGGGCTCCCTTTGAGCCTCTGCAATCAGCTGAGCTTAAGATCCTGTCTATGAAGACAGCGCTCCTGGTTGCGTTGGCCTCCATCAAGAGGGTAGGGGACCTGCATGCATTCTCCGTTGACGAAGCGTGCCTAGAGTTCGGGCCCGGTCACTCTCACGTGATCCTGAGACCCCGGCCTGGATATGTGCCCAAGGTTCCCACCACTCCCTTCCGGGACCAGGTGGTGAACCTGCAAGCGCTGCCCCGGGAGGAGGCAGACCCAGCCTTGGCACTGCTCTGTCCAGTACGCGCACTCCGTGCTTACGTAGACAGGACACAGTGTTTCAGGACCTCAGACCAGCTCTTTGTCTGTTATGGTGGGAAGCTGAAGGGAAAGGCTCTCTCCAAACAAAGGTTGTCTCACTGGATAGTGGACGCCATTGCTTTGGCATACCAGCAGCAAGGTCGACCATGCCCCCTTGGTGTGACCGCCCACTCCACCCGGAGTGTGGCGTCCTCTTGGGCTTTAGCGCGTGGCGCCTCGCTGACAGACATCTGCAGAGCTGCAGGCTGGGCGACACCTAACACATTCGCCAGATTTTTCAATCTCCGAGTGGAGCCAGTCTCCTCCCGTGTACTGTCTTTTTCAAGCTAACACGGGAACCGTTAGGTGTCTTCGCTTGCTCGCCACTCCACTCCACGGACTGGATACGTGCGATATTTCCTCAGGTAGCCTTCCTCTCTGAAGCCCTGAGTTCCTCCAGCACTGTTGACGCTGCCGCCAGTGTCTATTGCCTGTGCGTCGGCTAGGTGCCTCCGTGTGCATGGTTCCTCCTCCGAGCAACCCCCACATGTGTATTTCCACTGTAAGCCTCTTTGAGCATGTGTCTTTCCCTCGGCAAGCCACCTTGCCACTCCTGGAGTTGAAAGTAGATGCCACCCCACGGGCTGGTCACTCCAGTGTTCCTCCATATGTAGCCCCCTCGGGCCATATGTGTATTCTTAAGTCCTCCCTACGGGTAGGCATGCTGCGGCATATCTCCCCTGAGATATGCTTCCCAGTGTACCTTGGTATTCCTGTGTTAAGTAGGACTCCTTCGTCCGTGCCTATATCACGACAGGGAGGTCAGACTTCGCAGGGCACTGGAAGACAGCTGTGAAGGTGGCGTGATTACACGGGGACCCCCATTCTCCGTCATCCGACGTAACTCGGAGTGACTACGAAAGGGAACGTCTCGGTTACGGATGTAACCCTCGTTCCCTGAGACGTTACGTCTCCCTGCCACTTCCGCTGTACCGCTGGGTAGACGCCTGAGTTCAGTCTCGGCTCCTCAGCGAAGACATGATCTGCTGTTGCAGGTGTCTCTCCTTAAATACCCACACGGTGGGGCGGAGATACATTATGCAAATTCTGCAGACCCATGGCATTTCATTGCCATAGGCTCGTTTTTTAATACTCGAAGGTGATAGGCTTTCTGGCGAAACCCCCATTCTCCGTCATCCGACGTAACGTCTCCGTTCCCTACTCAGGGAACGAGGGTTACATCCGTAACCGATACGTTTTTAATATTGTTTATATGTCTGTGTTGTGTTTTTAATATGCTTTAAGACAAAACGTGTAAATTGATAAATCAGCACCATTGCTGAGCATTTTCTCCTTAAAACTGCAGTGAACCAATGACGGTCTCAAAAACGCAATTTGAAATCGCTGGTGTTTCTGACGTCACAAACTACTTTGTAACCAATCAAGTCAACATGTGATCGTCAACGAGTGGATCTGAGCTGGTACGAGTGAGTGGAGGCGGGGCTCATTTGCATATTCATAGAACCTCCTATACTAAATGAGGCAAGGGTGGAGAGTTACATTCAAACTATTCTAAGGCCTGAAGACATTTTTTTCAAGGAAAAAAAATTAAATACGTCATTTTGGTGATGTGGTTTAATCCCTTAAAACACAAAGATGTGATTTAAGGGATCAAATTATTGACTACGGGGGGACTTTAATAATAACAACACTGATCAGAACAAACTGTAACAGTGCTCACTATTAATCCTAGTAGTTTGACTTTAGAATGTTGCTAAATGAACAATTTGACACATACATATTGGGTAGAATAGTTCATTTTTAATTAATTAGCTCGTTGTGATGCATCAGCAACATACAATGCTGCCTTGGTCAAAATAATTTATTATCAGCATAATTTAGCTGCATGCCTACTGTTTTGGAATAAACAGGAGCACACCAGTGATGCCTAAAAATGCTGTCTAGGTAGGCAGCTCACTAGGGTTTGGAACAGAGGCATTGAAGCAGAACTCACCTGTCCCAGAGCTTCACGTTCCTGCAGTTGTTGCTGCAACATCCTGCTGATATCAAAGCTGTGAAGATAAAAAAAGAATTTTGTGGATTTTAGTGTCTGGAAGTAAAAAAGCCCATTTTCTTTATTTTTAATGGTAGGCTGTAAACCTTCCAAGACAGACCAACCAAAAGCTTAGAGATCGTTCAGCAATGATATATGCTTCTGCAGAGGCCACACATGAAAAAAATGGGAAAAAAAATCCAATATTTTGCAATACATTGAAAATATATTGATTTTACCTTTATCATCTGTTGAAGTTTTATATTGTACTGCTGTTACATCATTCACAATGTTTCATGGGATTGAGACCCTCGTAAAAGTAACACTGTGTTTATACACTCCTACATGTAACTCATTTGGATTTGGCTGATCAACAGAGGTGTTGGTAAAATGTAACGTGGTTTGAGCTATTTGAGCGAAGTTAACGAAAGTTAATATAGTGTAACTAATAGAAATATCTTATCATCCTCCATTACGTGGTCGCTATTTACATCTCAAATTGTCTGTAAACTCTTGACAAGGCAACGACTGACGCATTTGTATTACATTCCAAAGAGCTCCGCTATCAGTCCCACAGTGGAAAATGAAACCATATCCTTATCGGCTGGGCCGGATCAGCACGGAATGGATCAGTTAAGCAACGAGAACGATATTTCATATTATTGGTAAAAGACCATTTTGCTTAAGGTTGCGATGAAACAGAAGTAGCAACAGATCTTTTCTTCCATATTGTGATGTACATTAAAGTGAAACAGATTATCAGGGGGGGGGGGGGGGGGGGGATTATATATTATATATATATATATATATATATATATATATATATATATATATATGTTATGTGTGTGTGTGTGGGGGGGGGTGTTTGTGTGTGTGTGTGTGTGTGTGGTTTAATTGGACTACATGAGTGGAGAAGTCCCGCAAGTCACCAGAAGATCATTTTGATAAAAAATTGCAGGTCAAAACATATTTTCAGAAATGAAGCATATATGCATGGGTGAATTTTTCACAATAAGATGAAATGCATTTAGAAAAAAACAGATTTTTAGTGAATTTTGGTGTCCCTGTTACAGTGTAATTATACATTTAAGTACTGAGTAGTAATAATTAACTTTTTCCTTGCCATTGACGGAATTTTCCGGCTTTCCGCGTTTTCACTGTTATACGGTAGGGGGGCGCTATTAGGCATCTTCTGAAAAAGTACAGAATCTCCAGATCAAGACATGTGAAGACGAAGCAGAAACAAGCGATAGCAAATATAAGCAGATGCATATGTAAAATAACGTGATCATCAACATTAAACAGCATATAAATCAAAACTGCCTAATGTTACTGAATGAAATGTCGACACAGGACGAGCTATAGGACTGTGAACCCATTAGGGATGTTGATTGACTCAATCTACTCCATCTGTGTTTTGATTATTGTTCTGAATACGATCTGTAGTCTTTGATAAAAAACATGATTTTCTCAGCTTTTTGCTCAAAATGTTGCTTTTATATGAAACTTACCCATTCAAGTGTTGATAAAACTACACTCCAAAAGGGTTGCAGGTAACATAATTTATAGTTATTATATTACATGTAACATGTGTAACAAGAACATTTTAAAATAAAGTGAAATCAACTTTTTATTTCATGCCAACTTTAATGACAGCAAATCCTGATGTTATCCAGCATGATTTGAGATTGTTCCAAAGAGCATCTTGTGCTTCAATGGATGGAAATCTCCCTCACGATTGCGTGATACCGGGAATCCTTGCTTTTTGATTTGTTTCATCACCAAATATTGATTGGATGCTTATCCTTGATCATCCTTTGAGCATTTGTGGAGCAGATTCCTAAACCACTTTGTCGTTCTTATTATCTGCTGTTTGATCAAAGCTCCCCTGGACATCAGATTTAGTTTGCGTTCTCGGTTGTTTCTGCACTGTTTCATGCTTTATCTGCTTTCACGTTGTCATGTTGGCGGGTAAACCGGTCAGGGTGTCTGTTAAAACCCCCTAAAGTGTTTCTTAGAAGTCCACAGACTGGCATGAATCTTTAATGGCCAAATGCAATCGCACGCCTGAAGCAAATATGATAACGAGATGAAAAAACAGAAGCGGTGAATGAAACATAGAGCACTATGCCGCCTTAATGGAGGCGAGCTCAGACAGAATGGATGTGTCGTCACTCTATATGAATGAATATCGAATGACTTTGAACAGTCAGAGTGCAGGAAAGATGGATATCCTCAGATTAGCCTGCCAATGAAAGGTGGGCTCATATATGTTGCATGTCAGATTTTACTCATAAAGAAGTCTGAGAATGTAGACATGCTCTGTGAATAGTATCTTACCGTATGTTCTTACTCTGGCAGATTACACCAACCACAGTGTGAGGTTTCTCAGCCCAAAGGTTGTCACTATGTCTGCTAGTGTGTGTGTGTGTGTGTGTGTGTGTGTGTGTGTGTGTGTGTGTGTGTGTGTGTGCTCGACGGGGTGGCATATGGGAAAAGCAGACAGGTTTATAGTTGGTTTAGTCTTGCCGAGCTCAGTAAAACAGGTAAATGAGGATTTGCCTGTGGTCTCCAGTGTGCAACTAAACCTTAAAAAGAGAAAATAACTGCTCAGGCGCTGAGAGGGCAACAATTTATGTTGGGAGTCTCTTATTTCCTACAGACAACCCTCGGTCTCTGGACTGTTCCTAGAACCGTTCGGCCAGACGGTGGAAAGTGTCTTATGATATAGGAGAATATGGTGCTCACACTTGTGGAGGAAAAAACACCTCAATTTTATTCAGAGGCCAAACTGAGGAAAAATATGCAATTTGGTGCAGTTGCTGCACCAAACAGGGACATTAAATTCTGATAGCTTGTAATGCAAATCAATGAGATCTTTACAACAGTATAGCGACTAATGTGATACTGTATTGGGTTAAAAGACAGTTCTTTCATATGCATTATTGAATTCATAGGCCCTGTTTACACCTGGTGTTAAGATGCGTTTTGGTCGATCGGATCACAAGTGGATGACGTTAAATACACGTGTAAACGGGATCTAAAACGTTTTGAGCTTGTCCACCTTCGGCCACTTACAGAAAAACCTACATTTACCCTCCCATACGCTGATTTCACGCTGCCGCCATTTTGAAATCGAAAGCGAGGCTCCGGTGGGAAGAACCCCGGAAGTACAGATAGACAACAATGCTTGGACTACCAACCTGAAGCTGCTGCCGCGATTTACACGAATGGATGTTAATATCCAATATAGGGTATGTGTTACGAAGTAGCAGGAATGAAGCAGAGAGGGAATCCAAACGCAAGCACTTTAATAATCCAACAAACAGGTAAACTCAGAACTAGGATCAAATAACTCAGAACACACTACAAGTAACATTAAACAACAACCGACAGCCAACAACTGAAACACAGGGGTTTAAATACACAGACAAACAAGCTAAACAAGATAACAAGGGGGCGTGGTTAATAAGAGACACCTGGGGAGACTAATAGACATAGACGAGGAACACCTGTGGACACTGAGCAACAACATGACAAAAGACAAGACACATGGCAGGATAACATGACAAACAGGGAATCACATGACAGACAAGAACAAGGAACAAAACACAAAACCCACACCGTGACAGTATGTATATAGTTCGTTCCTGCTTTTATTTTTTCGTTCTGAATTATATATAAAAAAAAAAAAAAATTATAAATGAATTTCACTGTAGGGCCTATATAGTCTAAAGTATGAAAGAAATGTATGTACATTTTTAGAATAACTAATTTCTACATTAAACACAACAATACGCCATCGCATTCGCGACTCTCCTATGATTAAAAGCGACACTTCCGGTTTTCTTCCCACCGGAGCGATTTCAAAATGGCGGCTGCGTGAAATCAGCGTACAGACTATCCTCTCAAAGAAATCAGAACAGATTTCACAATTGACCACAGACCACAGGTTGAAAGTGGGCGAAAGAGACGGATTAAAATAGCATGTATTAAAATAAACAGGAATGTGTCTCCCTCGTCTACTTGTGATCTGATCGACCAAAACGCATCTTAATACCAGGTGTAAACAGAGCCTTAGGCCGTGTGTCCACCAAAGCGTTTTTAGCCAGCTGAAAATGCTAGACGCTCTGCTGAAAACGCCTAGCTGTGGGCGTTTGAGAACGTTTTGGCAGCACAGTGTTTTTTCCGTTGAGACGTTTCGTTGCTATGATACAGAATATCCGCAGCACAGTTTCTTGTAACTGAATTCGCAGATAATTTGTTTCATACTAAAAATTAATTTTTCATCCATTTTGTTCGGTTAGCTCTGCTGGTTGATGTCGTTGTACAGAAAGAATGTTGTGACAGTTGGTCGATGTGGTATTAGTCCCGCCCCTCCTCCACTGTGATTGGACGGCTGGGTAAAAAGTGACAGTATTGAGCGCTGCGTTTTATCCAAAGTTGAACATTTTTCAACTCTCGACGTCCAGTAAAAAACGCCCGGCGCTCGGTGCTTCAGTGTGAAAAAAACGCTCGGCGCCTCGTTACGCTCATGGCATTAAAAAAACGCGGCGCTTCCATTGAAAACAATTGAAAACATACACCAGGCGCGTGAAAAAACGCTTTGGTGGACGTACGGCCTTAGATCAGTCATTTGAAATGTGGCAGGAGATCCAAATCTCTTGTTGTATACTACCGTTAACATTAACAATCATTATTCAAGGCTATACATTATAATAATTGTCTAAGCATAAGTTTAGCTCTTGAGCTTGAATATTGAAATTGCATTGTGTAGGCTTTTATAATGTCACCGTGCTTCTTGGCTGGTAGCTTACAACATTCAATTTGCCCTGAAAGCTCATGGTCAGATATTTATGCCATGTGGGGCGACTCAGATCAGTCAGATATACAGTCTATCCTGAGAGACGAGGTGCGACGGTCAAGATATGTGATTTCATATTTGTGCAGGTTCAAAACTTGTGTCAAGATGAATATCTCCTTCTTTTTCTCCTATATCTATAACAGACACACACACAC